AAAAAATGGAGAAGGATGTTGATGTCCCCTACAAAAAGGGAAGGGTCCAAAAACATTAGTTTGCCGCTCACAGCAATGGCATATTGGCTAATAACTTAACAACGTTTCAGACATTTCCATATATAACCCAGATGTTTTCTATGTGGTTCCCATTACAAGCATCCACGTTACCCTAAGTTTACTCATTTCTCCACCAGCAGCTTGGGCCCATGAAATGGTGGAATTGTTTTGGTGAGACACCCCTTCATGTTGTTAACATTTGCAAATACCTTCCCCACAAAAAGCTAGAACCCATGAAGCCCTGGAATTGTTTGTTTCAAACACCCCTACATTTTGTAACAAGAGTAGCCACGTGCCATGTACAGTGACCCTTACCATTTCATGGATTTCAATGGTCCTTAATAGTGGAACATATTCATATTCATTCTAGGGTTTCCTGGTGTACTTTGGACATACCTTACAAAAAGGGTTTGCGTGAAGCTTTTCAAAACAAATTTCATACACTTTTTAAATATAGCAAAGATATCTCTTACAAAAAGGGGTGCCTACCAAAGAATGGAGAAGGATGTTGATGTCCCCAACAAAAAGGGAAGGATCCAAAAACATGAGTTTGCCACTCACAGCGATGGCATATTGGCTAATATTTTAACAACGTTTTAGACATTTCCATGTATAACCCAGATGTTTTCTATGTGGTGCCCATTACAAGCATCCACGTTACCCTAAGTTTACTAATATCTCCACCAGCATACTTTGTCCTACAGATAGGGGATCTGAACGGACATGGATCGGCTGGCAGAACGCTGAAAAAGGCCCAGCAGCATCCAGCAGCTATGTCCTTACAAAATGGGTCTTGTTTTTTTGTTTGTTGGACATCTTGAGGCCAGAGAGATCCACATTGAACAGTGAATTCCATATAAACGGTCGGGGCATGACCCCTGGATAATGTCTAAATGTAGCTCTCTACAGCTTGAGAGGGCATCTACCCGGGCCATTGGTGCTTACATGACCTGTCATTTTGTAAAACCTACATTTTGACCCACCTACTCATTTTGTAAGGGGGGGTATGCCCCCCAGGTTTATACCTACAAAATGGGGGCCTTGACCCCTTAGGGGTAATTGCGAAGGGGATCTCAAAGGCCGTTCTTTGGTACAAAAGCGCAACCATTTGAGCATGCAATGCGCAACTGGTGAGATACGTGAGCGGCCTAGTTATGTTTTCCCATTCTGATTGTCCCCCATTCTAACTTCAGCCACAGTCAACAGTCAGAAATAGTTTGGTATTCGCATTGCCTTAGCATGCTTTTTGTTCAGGATCGGTGGAGGAGGCCATTGCAGCGGTCTCTTCACCGTCTACACACGGGGCAATCAAACTTACTGAGGGGAAGAGTGGCCGCTTCTCATCCGCTGGCACATTCATTGCTGGCGATGAGTCCATCTCAAAGACCTTTGACTCATTGGTCGCTTGCGTTGCCTGGGTTGGAAAAATGCAGGCAGCCTTGAAGAGCGGGACAGCTCCAGAAGGGACTGAACATGATGCAAAAGAAGACCCACGTCACACCGGAAGCTGAGCTCTGGATAGTATGTTTTTGCCTATTCTGAGGTCATTCTATCATTTTGTGTGATAAAGGCTCTGAGTATGCATATATAGATATTGTATAAGGAAGTATGAAGACCCATGTGCCTGTCCAGTGCGCTCTAGGCTTCTGTTTCCATTGCCCGTGACATTCAGATGCTTGGCGCCGACTCCATTGATGATTTGGCCAGTGGCGAAGTACCTCAAGGTCTGGAGAAGGCAGAAGACGTGACAAGCTCCCTATTGATTCCTCGACAAGAGAGAGCTGCAGGTCCACATCTGGATACAGCCAAGGTAGCCCTGCCAAGGGCAGGTGTGGCGAGCTTTCAATGCTGGATGGCACGCTGTCCGAACATGGTAGCCGTGCTTTTGGGGAGCCACCAGAAGCGGACAGGGCGCATGTCCTGCACATCCATTGTTGCAGGCCGAGATTGGAAACATCTCCTGGAAGATCCCAGGGTTGCCAGGGCTTGTGATGAAGAGGAGGCCTTGCTATGTGGCGCTATGGTGGGTGAGCAGGTCCGGGATGAGCCAGGTGGAGGGAAACAGTTTCTTATGGACTTAAGGGAGAAGGGCTTTCACACAGCCATTTGCGCTTATGTAGCTTGAACTGGCATTTAAATCACACGACAAACATTCTAACTGTCAAGTAATGATGGTCCATTGTGTGTTTCTGCACGTATATAGGTGCCATCAATCGTCCAGGTACCATCAGATGACCTGGGGGGCGTCTCTTGTTCTGAGCTTCTTCAAACTGATGATGATCTCTGCTTGATCTCCGAGGAACCCTGCTATAGCTACATGAGGGGACGGCGCCTGGCTAACATTTGCTGGGTGGATCACTTATTCGAAACGCAGCGGGAACACCTTTACAAACTCCTTGTGCAAGGACTTGTCAAGAAGGCCAACAAGTTACTAGATGTCAAGCAAGACAAGACACTGGTGCCTTTTTAAATCGTTCCAGTTCCTGGCGACGGCCGCTGCGCATGGAGGGCCTTGTTGGCTAGTTCTGACCTTGACGCGTTCCTTCGAGTGCCAAGGAGGGATACATATGCCTGCAATGTGTGTAAGTACTGTTTTCTCAGCCACTATATATACTGTATATGTCATTCTAACTTTTGCTGCAGCCTA